CAAACAAAAAACCAGCACAGAAGGCCAACTCAAAGCTCCAGGGAGATGCATAAAAGAAGCACCTGAGGGCTGCCTGATCCCTCACACTACCACCTTTGAGCAGCACTGTGTCTGACTAGTCCTAGGAAAAAAAAAAAGAACATTTAGCACTCCTGTGAGATATACTACCACCTTTGAGCAGCACTGTGTCTGACTAGTCCTAGGAAAAAAAAAAAAAAAGAGCATTTAGCACTCCTGTGGGATACATTATAGCACTCTGGGGAACCCATTTCCAGGCCCCTGCTAGCTCACCATTCTGCTTTGTTATCCAGTACCCTGTGCTTGATATGATTTGAAGACTGAAGAGTGAATAAGAATCTGGATAATTGAAGAGTCAGTGATAGAGTAAAATGCTAAACACAAAATCTTTGAGCTTACCTCCACAACAAGCCTGTGAAGAAGATTAAAACACCCCAGATTTTTCCTAGCCAATTCTTATTCATAGAAGAGGGAATTCTTACGAGTTTTGTGACTGGTCACAGAACAAATAAGAATAGGGTACACCTGCCATGCCCTTCCAAGAACATGGCAAACCTTTGAGTGAACAGTGTGTTTTGGAGAACTGAAATGATGCAGATTTGACTAATAATTTTGGCCAGAGATGACTCACAAATATCTGAAGGAAAATCAAAGCATTTAATTTTATATATATACACACTTATATATTCATATATATATACATACACACACACGTATATATATATGGAATTGCCAGAATTTTTAATTAAAATCTCTCAAAGGCAGTATTTTGCTTTTTGCTCTCTATTTGTTAAATACAAAAAATAAATGCGTGGTCAACATATGAAAAAGGAAAAAAAAAATCCTAGTGACTGTCCCATACTTAATCTTTGAAGACCACAAGTTCTACTATCAACTTAGAGCAACCGTTCACCTCATCACAGCAAGAAATTTCACAGCTATCAACTTACTTGACAAAAAATTCCCCTTTCTCTCCATGTGGCTTCCTGGAATACCAGAGTCAATAGGTGATGCCATGCTTCCCCACACAGAGTAGCTCACAAACAACTAACAAGCAGTGCAGAGATGGGGCCACCACCTGCACTAGGATTTTTCACTCTTCTGACTAAGTGAGCTAAGAGCCTCTGAGACTTTCACCTACAGTAAGCACAAACATGTTCACACTTTTGAGTGACTAGACTCATTCTTTCCTCCAGAGAGATAATGACATGCTCCATGATCTAGTCAATGCTTTAAAACAATCACTTCACAGAATGAAGTCCTTTGCTTGCAATCCTGTTGCTGTTTCTGTAATAGACTCAAAGCTCCTTATGTACTGAAGACAGAGGCACAAAGCATCTCTCTTCTTTCAGTCCATCTACAGTGACCTGAATGTTATTTCCCTCTCTGGAGGGAATGATAAGTAGTGTCAGTGGAATCAATGGAATAACTGTGGGACAAGGCTGAGTAGGAGAGTCCCCTCTCATTCAAACAGACCCTACATCTCTGCTCCCTGGCTCCCTGCTGACCAGGGCTTTCATTCTCCTCTGCAGCATATCTCAGGGGCTCATTTTCCCCAGCAGGAGTAAGCAAAAATGCCAGTAGATCAAAACAGTTTTGTATGCTATCAGCTGCAAAGACAGGGGAAATTCAGGACAACCTCAGCTGTAATAAAAGAGGGACAATAGTGATATGGATATGAATATCTTTGCTTCTAATATGATAGCATGAATGTGCTATGAAATAAGCTGAAAATATGAGAGCCCCCAAGCTTGAATCTCTGCCAAGCAAACTATTTTTAGTGGAATATGTTTAGCTTGTTAAAGATGTAAACCCAGGAAATAACTGCAGTTACTCTTCTGCCTGATTGAAGTAGGCAACATTTATTAATGTACAGTGACTAAATAAACTATTCCAATGCAAACAACAAAAACTTAAAGTGATGAGGGAACAGGATAATATCCTGACTAAAAAAAGTCAACCCTGTGCCTGTGGTCTAAGTAAGATCTGTTCCATGATAAACAGCTTATTGAGGCAGACTGGAGGGAAGAGAGCTGCAAGTTATTAAAGGGAATTTGATTTGTCCCTCTGAAGGCAAAGTGGTAACTGACTAATCTGAGCAAACTCTGTCACAGATTTTATAGACTTAGTTATTTCTTGCAGGTCTCCAAGATGGAAATGGCTTAGATTAAGTCCATGCAAGAGCTGAATTCCAACTGGCAGAGATTCATCAGTGACCAAACCCATGATCCATGTTGCTATTCTGTGTTCACACTTGCACATTAAATCAGAGTTCAGTATCCTGCATATCTACACTTTAAATTGTCCTAATTGAGCAGCAAAGTCCCCCTGCCCTGTCTGTTTTGCAAACGTCCAGGAATGTACAAGCTCTTTGGCTTGAGATAGGGTATAACCATCCTGTGTGCTGAGGGTGAAGAAAGGATGCTTTTGATGACAATATTCAGAACACTGGGAATACCCAATGATTTTTGCTCCATTATTTTATGCTGAAGAAAACAAGTCTACAAAAAGATTTACCTGCTTCAGCAATTTGTGCAAAACACCTCATTACATAGCAGCACTTTTTTTCCTGAAGAAGCCTGCTCCATATCCAATGGGTAAAAGGATAAATGGCTATAATCTTTGAATACACAAGACTACACAGAGTGGGTATTTCATAGCTGCACAAAGCCCATAATTGAACTTCTGCCCTAGGGATAAGTTTTCCTGCAGTGTAAGTGCTTCCAGTTGCCATACGGGGGTCATGTTCTTTGTCAGGAAAGCAGAACTTTACATCCAGTTAATTGTTGTTCCCAGCTGTCTTTTTGTTGTTGTTTTTGTTGGGTTTTTTTCCACTGAGGCTAGTTTTCCAACAGTCATTCAAGCAAATGTGCTCATTTCCCAGTTCCCCCGCAATTCCCCACCACAGTGTAACAAAGTGCAGATTTTGCATGGCTGCATTCCAGGCTTCGTGGTGTTAAAATCATAGCAGCAATGGAAAAGAATGTAGTTGCAATAGTCATAAGGTAGGACTTGAGCTACAGGTGACTCAGTGGCAGTCAAACAGATGCTGTATGAAAATAGATTGGTTTCTGTCTACAGACTGGTTAACCCATGGAGTTAGTACTTACACATCAAGATTTCCATGGTTTCCTAAGCAGCAAAAACTACTCAGTCTGAAGTAAATTGGTGACCTCAATTCTGTTCACTGTGTCTGGGTGTCCATCTCAGAACACAGTGACCATGAACAGCAAGCTCCTTCTGCCTTAATTACTTAAGGCTTCATCTTTGGTGTCAATCAATCAAACATAAAAAGGTAAAGACCATGTCCATCCAGTATTTGGATCTCTTCAGCACAGTGATGAAACATTCACTGGTTTGGGATGGATCAACAGGGGCAGAGAGAAGAAAGCTTAGGCCATAGTCTGCTGCAGAACAAACTGAAAAAATTGCAGGGAAGTCAGTGGATATTATAAAAGGACAACACAACTCCTTTGTTTTCCTCAAAGAATTAATGAAACTCTTGCATGTGCATTTGCAATGTGAGTCCCCTGTTATGAGGCACTAACTGCCACCTATTTGGGTTACCAAACCTGTTGGTTGAAGAACTTCTTCGGGGAGTTCACAGTTCAGGCTGCTAAGCAACTGACCAATAAACACTCAAGACCAAAGTCTTGGGAAGGATTTTACACCAACTTGCTGAATTTGACCAATAGTAGCTCTGGAAGACGCAGTTTCAGTCCACTGTACTTGTGCTTTTTGGACTGCTCACCAATACAGATACAGTCCTACCTGAATAACTTTTACCACTCACTCTTCCCTCAGAAAACAACCCACCTGTTTTAGTTCACAAAAGATCCCTTGATTCTTGTGATAAAAAGACATTTGACTTTTACAGCAACCCACTCCTAATCTCTTTGGTGTCTGTTCTCTGGATTTCCCCAACAGGGAAGCCCACACTGTTCTGTGGGCTTCCTGGTAAAAGTTGTCATTGCCTGATGACAAAAAGCAAATGTATGCTGTAATCTTAAAAGTCTGGAGCTGGATATTTAGAGCTCAGTCAGCACCTGGGCCTTGTAAGATCATATTTTCCCCAGAAGGGTTTATTAAATTTGTGGAAGATCTGAAAACTACTTTTTTTTAAATCATTAGTTGGTAATCAAAAAACAAAGATGAAATACATAATCATCAAAACACTCCTCACGTGAACATGATTCTCCTGAGCTTCTGTCAGACCAGCAAGCAAATAGGCTGTGCCAAGCCGCCTTCTCTTTGTGGGTTTGTGCCAAGATTTGGACCTTCTGATTTGATAGCACAGAAAACACCCACTCACATTCCCTCCTGCAAGAAGAGGTCAAGGAAAACCACTTGCTACCCTGTGAACTTTCAGGAAGTATTGCTGGGCAGCATGTGCCCATGCCCCTTTCTGTGTTGAAACTTCACCAGACTATTTCTTACTCTTATTGCTGCAATGAACCTTCAGAGAACATTATTAACTACAATCTTATGCATATGAGGAATTGATCCAGATTATTAGAAATTATGTTCTTACTGCAACTCTACAGCTGTTTCTCCTTCTTAGATGAAATCTGGACCCCAACCCCACAGCCTGGTAATGCCTGTTCACTTAAAATTAAAGGAAAATTATCTCTAACACATACAGAGGTGATCACATTTTCTTCCTTAAGTGGGGCAGTGGAAATTAAAGTCCTCTCCTCACCCAGTGCTGCTCCTGAAAAATCCTGCAAAAAATCTGGCACAATACCTGTAATCTGGTTGAATATGCTAAACACTAAGAAAAAAAAAAATAGGGTCAGCATTATCTCTGACATGAGAGGATGACAGGCTTGGATGAGGAGTCTGGGCCAGGGAAAAGAGGGAGGGGGAGGGAATTAGCCTCTCTGGTGATCTGTACTTGGCTCCTCTTCCTACAGTGCCTGCCCTCCAAGCATGAACTCCCACCCAGCCCCACTGTCCCCCAGTCAGAAGTATTTAATACTCACCATGTCATAAACATTCAGAATCACTGGTTCATTTGCCATTGTTGATTGCAGTAGAGGCTGGATTAAAACCTTTCAGTCTCTGCCAGATGTGTGTTGATGCCCCCAGGGTACGCTTTTACCCTGAGCCAGATAGACGAAAATGCCTCATCCTACAGTCGCTGAAGGAAGGAGGAAAGGAGGGAATTCTCACGGTTGGGTGTGTGTGTGTGTGTAAAGTTGGTTGCAAGGAGGCAGGAAGGCCTGGATTTGGTTTGCTAGTTGTATAGGGTTTATTTTAGCCCTCCACGCCGTGACAGATCCAAGGTTTCTTTTTAACTCTGTAGTGCAGCTTGGGCTCTGTAGACTCATACACCACTGTAACCAGGCACCGTCCGAGCTCTTAAATCTCGATCCACAGAAGACAGATTCTGAGCCCAAATACAAGCCCTCTTCTGGCGCCGTGAGCAAGGTGGGTGGCAGTGCGTGCGGGAAGATTTCTCGGCAGAGCTGAGCGCCGCTACCGCAGGGGGCTGCCAGCACCACGCAGGAACCCGGGACACCAAGGCACGGAGCGGGGCTGCAGCGCACGCCGAGCTCCCGCCCTCCCCGCCGCCGGCGGAGCCCGGAGACACCCCGGGATCTGTCCGCGGGGCTGGGGCCGTTCCGCCCGGAGCCGGGATCTGTCCGCGGTGCTTGGGCTGTTCCACCCGGAGACACCCTGGGATCTGTCCGCGGGGCTGGGGCCGTTCCACCCGGAGACACCCTGGGATCTGTCCGCGGTGCTGGGGCCGTTCCACCCGGAGACACCCTGGGATCTGTCGCGGTGCTGGGGCCGTTCCACCCGGAGCCGGGATCTGTCCGCGGGGCTGGGGCTGTTCCGCCCGGAGCCGGGATCTGTCCGCGGTGCTGGGGCCAGTCCCGCTCAGGCACTCGGCTGAGGGCTCTCCGTCGCTGGCAGGACATGGTGAAGAGGCTGTGCCAAAGGGATTGCAGCGCGGGGCTCGGCGGTGGGAGGAAGAGGAGGAGGGGGCTGGCTGCCCCCGGGGCAGAGAGGGGATGCCACAACCCCCATCCTGCCCACGGCGTGCAGGCAGACCTGGCGTCAGCGCCGAAGTTAGAAGGCAGTTCTTCACGGGAGACGAGGCGGGATTAACCGGACTGGGGCTGGAGGAAGGAAGATGCCAAGCAGACGATGCTTTCAGGCAGGGTACGGAACCAGGGCTGGACACTCCAGCTCTCTGTGCTCTGCTCTCCGCAAGGCCAGTCCTTATTTCGCGAGCAGCTCGTCCCGAACCGGGCAGCTCCTACTGACTGACAGCCGAGGGAACCTACCCCGTCCCCTGCTGGCTGCATGCATCGCTGCATGGCACACGGTGGGAGGGCGGGGAAGGGACCAAGCGACTGGGCAGGGCGAGTAGTTTCACTTCTGGCAGCAGCAGGGTCTGGAGTTTCTTCCTGGAGCTACTTTACACTCGTGTTAGGACCGTGAAGCTCTGTAATGTCTTGCCAGCAAACACTTCCCTCTGACCTGGATGTGAGAATCAATTATAAAATGCACTGCGGTAAATTCATCTTCCTTTTGCTCCTCCTCTCTTTTTAAAGGGAGAGCAGAGTCTGTGATGGTGCTGGGAAAGAGTGCAGCTGGGAGAGAGACAAGGGAATTCCTGCTCCCAGAGATTTGCAGTGGTGTAGAAACTAGCACTCTGACCTTAAACGTTCATACACAACAGATTTCTGAAGCGGGAGGAAAAAAAAAAAAAAACAGGGATGACCTCATCTGAGGTGGAGGCGTATCTGAGGCTGAGGCTCTCTGCCAGCTCACAGCCAACCAGATCTGAATGAAAATTGCAGGGAGCCTGTTACATCAGCAAAGCCCAGCATGCCTCAGCCCCGCCTTTAGCCACATGGGAACCATCCCGTCCGGAGAAGGGCTCACCTCCCTCTGTCAGGAGCGGAAGGACAAGACCATAGAACTGCAGCCTTGTAAAATACGTGTTAAACAGCATGCAGGAGAATTTCTAGTGAAGGCAGGCAATAGGAAAAGGAAGTGAGTCCATGTCCTGCGTAGCTAAGTGCCAGCCCAAAAAAGTCAGACAGTTTTTTTAGACATTGCCAAAGGAGATCCATAACTGCTTTACCCTAATATGCATTTTGAAAGTGCAAAACCACAGCTCAGGCTTGGGCATGACAACATGGCAGGAACCCCAGCACAGTAATTTCATCTGGACTAGATGGAATCCATCATTCCACGGATGGGCTGGACAACTTCACACACATGGTACAAGGACTTGACCAGCACCCTGACTTCCCCCCATCCCTAGCTCTCCAACCCCTGAATTCAAACTGTGCCATTAACCATGCGCCTCAGCAGCCTGTGTCTGAAGGAGCAGCTTGTGCAGGTGGGTAAAGGTGCTTCCTCCTCCTTACCATCTCAGAGTCTAGATACTCCTCAGAGGACAGACTGAGCCCCCACTGTCATTTTAAAGGCTATGGAGCAATGGAGATCTTCCTCTGCAAAAGGCTAAGCTGCATGGTTCATGCCCTAACTTGAGAGACAAACCGCCTACTGAAACCCAGAGGCTCCTGCTAAACTGTCACAGATACCCTGAGACTGTCACTTTTGGATATGTGTCCTACTCTAGAGATAGTGATGTTTTAAGGAGACTTCAAAGGAGAGGGAATAGCAGATATCAGACTGATGTTAACTGGAAAAGAAAAGCAGCACTACAAGGTCTTCCCACATTTACCCACATGCTTATTTGCTAAATTAACTCCAATGACTGCTATGCTCAGAGTTCACTAAAATCAATTAGAGACTTAATTCAGATACACATTCCAGAGACAGACATTAACAAACACTAGGATTTGGGAAAGGTGACAGACAGCCACAAGCTTCAATGTTTTGTCCTGTAAACATTCAAAATTAGTCACCTAGGGGGGAAAAAAAAAAGATTACTAGAATTCCAATTCTAAACTTTAGAGATAGAAGAAGGGGGGAGTTAAAAGTAAAACATGTCTTTAAACTAATCATATTGCTTCAAGAGATCAAAGCCAGTCTAAATGTGCATTTGTTATTTAAAGGACTTCTGCTGTAGGAGAGACAGTAAATGTCACTTGCACATTAAGACATGGATTCTCTCCCTCTAACTTGAAACAACTGTGAGAAGTACATCACAAATGTCATTGCTTCAGGCTCCCTTTTCTGCCCCTTCACAGAAAGAAGCTGTTGCACATTGTGACTTAGCCTCATCAGTTTCAGTGATGCTTTGAAAATTCTTTTTTATGCCATTCTACTCTAGACAACTTATTCCAGCTCCAAATAGAAGGGATCAGTCTTAATTCAAAGATCTCATTAATATGAGTTGTTTTACAGTCACATAAACTCTTCACAAGGCTTGGTTTGCTTTGGGCTGTGTTGAAGCGTTTCATCAACAGCTCAGGCTGATGCCAGTTGAGAAAGTGAACCGCTCTATTTCAGGAGCATGAGTACAATCCCACAGATAGCCTTGCTACCTACAGACACCAGAGCCCATATCTTGTGTTGTAAAAACCATTACAATATAAATGAACAGCAAATATAGGGGAAAGGCAGATTCTTCTTACTACTTATTAGAGCAGCTGGAACTAGAGCTTTGGGTTGTGCTTTCAATTCTTCTTTTAAGCACTTATGCTGGTTTTAGGACAAAGCAGGTGAACTTTTTTCTACAGATACATGTAAAGCTAGACAGCACCTTCATTCACATTTAAGCAGCCTGTTGCAAGCCCAAACTTTCTCAGATTCTCCACATTCTTAACACTCCCTTTAAAGGGATTCATATGTTTATCTGAGATCATCCCCACTTACTATTATGGTATATGTATGAGTGAATCCCCAAGGATTGGTGTAATACGAGTTGTTTTACAGTCACATAAACTCTTCACAAGGCTTGGTTTGCTTTGGGCTGTGTTGAAGCGTTTCATCAACAGCTCAGGCTGATGCCAGTTGAGAAAGTGAACCGCTCTATTTCAGGAGCATGAGTACAATCCCACAGATAGCCTTGCTACCTACAGACACCAGAGCCCATATCTTGTGTTGTAAAAACCATTACAATATAAATGAACAGCAAATATAGGGGAAAGGCAGATTCTTCTTACTACTTATTAGAGCAGCTGGAACTAGAGCTTTGGGTTGTGCTTTCAATTCTTCTTTTAAGCACTTATGCTGGTTTTAGGACAAAGCAGGTGAATTTTTTCCACAGATACACATAAAGCTAGACAGCACCTTGATTCACATTTAAGCAGCCTGTTGCAAGCCCAAACTTTTTCAGATTCGCCAAATTCTTAACACTCCCTTTAAAGGGATTCATATGTTTATCTGAGATCATCCCCACTTATTATTATGGTCTATGTATGAGTGAATCCCCAAGGATTGGTGTCTAGAGAAGACAATGTGATCTTAGGTGTGTTCTGTGATTCAAAAAGGGTAAAAGGCAATTAGTGCTGCTACCCAGCATGGACTAAAAAAACAAGAATCAAGTACAACCTTAAGGAATTATCTGGTACATTAAGCAAGGCAGTAGGACAGTAACTGAGAACTTCAGCCACCTCCTCCAGGTTGCAGTCACAAAACTGGCATTGCTGGGCACTGTAAACAGAGCTGAGATATTCCACTGGAGGCAAGAACAAAAGAACAGCAGTGCAACAGGGAAATAATGGCTACATTAGAGATGATGGCCTATCTGTGAGTTTGTCTACTTGTGTTGCTGTTCAGGAATTCTAGTTTAAATTAACACTTTTCCTTAATCTACCCTCATGCACTTTCAAAGAATCAGAAGCAACCCAGCAGACAATAGGGCTTTCAAGTATGTTTCACAGCAGGGCTGCCCAGTTTAAATTCAAGACACTTAATGGCCTTCTCTCCACATCAGGTACACCACCCCTGGCTGTCCATTATATTTTTTGACAACTTGTAATTTTGAATTGTATAAAGTGCTTCTATGCATGTCAAGGTGTCATTATTATCCCATTCTGAGTACATTAGCAAGACTATCCTCCTTAAGGAAAATATAAAGTGTCTGTTTAAAAAACTAGAGACAGTATTTTCTCAGATCCTTGAGAATGGTGGAAGGTAT